TTCTCCCCTCCCTTCTCCCCTCCCTTCCCCCCCCCCCTTCTCCCCTCCCTTCTCCCCTCCCTTCTCCCCCACCTTCTCCCCTCCCTTCTCCCCTCCCTTCTCCCCCCCCCTTCTCCCCTCCCTTCTCCCCTCCCTTCCCCCCCCCCCCTTCTCCCCCCCCTTCTCCCCTCCCATCCCCACCACTCCCCTCCACTCTCTTCATCCCTCTCTTAACTCCAGGCGCTGGCAGTGGCAGCGACGGTGGAGTCTGCCACGTTTGGGATCGGTGGGAAGCGGTTCTACCTGTCAGCCCGGCACGGCAGGCGGGACGATGGCACGGAAACGCTTGACATCCACCTTCACCTGGAGAACAGCCACAGCGTGCAGCCGGAGATCCAGGTATGGTTGATTTGAGGCCCAGGTGTGATTCTCTCCTACCTCAGACCACTGCAGGGAGGGGGGTGATGGTGCAGGGAGGGGGGTGATGGTGCAGGGAGGGGGGTGATGGTGCAGGCACTCTACTCCAGGGTAGCATCTGAAATGGGGGTCTCTGGACATTCACCTGCACCTTTGCATTCACCTGCACCTTTGCATTCACCTGCACCTTTGCATTCACCTGCACCTTTGCATGCACCTGCACCTTTGCATTCACCTGCACCTTTGCATTCACCTGCACCTTTGCATGCACCTGCACCTTTGCATTCACCTGCACCTTTGCATTCACCTGCACCTTTGCATGCACCTGCACCTTTGCATTCACCTGCACCTTTGCATTCACCTGCACCTTTGCATGCACCTGCACCTTTGCATTCACCTGCACCTTTGCATTCACCTGCACCTTTGCATTCACCTGCACCTGGGTAAGAGTCACAGTGTTCATCTGGAGATTCAGGTATCAAGTGAAATATAGGCTGAGTATATTCCCTTCCAACACCATGTCAGATGCTGCCCTACAGTCCCCTCCCTCTCTTCTGCCCAACGCCCCTTCCATCCATCTGTCGCTTTCTCCCCGTCCCCTTGCCCTTCCACCTTCCCTCCCCCCTCCTGCTCCCCTTCCTTTCTGCCTTCCTTCCATTCCCCCTTCCCTACGCCCTTCCCCTCCCCCTCTTCCCTCCCCCTCACCTCACCTCTTCGCTCTTCCCCCTCGTGATCTGAGCTCCATCGTATGCCAAGAGGTGGTCTATAGGCCTACCTTTGTGACGGCGTGACCAAGGGGTTTGGGCGCAATGCCACCAATTTAAATCGGTCTTTCTTCACCTCCTTCCCTGCTTTCTTCTCCCCCCCACTTTCCTCCAACCCCCTTCCATTTCCGTCCCCTTCCACCTCTCCCCTCCCATCCCCCCCGACCTCCCTCCTCGTCCCTTGCCCCCTTCTTCTTTCAGGTGAGCTTCATATTCTACGCCAAGCGGTGGCCCGAGGGCCAGTTTGACTACCTGCGGGACCGCGTCACCAAGGGGTTTGGGCGCAACGCGAGCAACTGGGGGTACAGCAACATCCTGGGGCGGCCGTGGGCGGATGTGGTGCAGGACGAGAGCAAGTACTTCAAGAACGGCGTCATGTCCGTCTTTGCTGAGGTGCAGATCCTAGAGGATGCTGGGAGGGGGCCCGTTGTAGGGGGGTGAGGGTGCGAGGGTAGGAGAGCGAGTGGGGCGGGGAGGGGGGGGGGAGAGAGAGGTTGAGGGGCTTTGAAGGAGCAGATTCTGAAGGATGCTGGGAGGGTGCCGGGTGTTGGGGGGTGTGGTGAGGATCCGTTGTGGAGTGAAGAGAGTTGTTGTGTCGGTGTTTGCTCAAGCGCAGATGTCTGAAGATGTCGGGAGAGAGCTGGTTGTGTGGGGGTGAGGATTGGAACGGGTGGGGGCTAGAGAGGGCAGAGGAGAAAGGAGGGTTTGAGGGGCTTCAAAGAATGCATTTTGTAAGGGGGGTTGCAGAAGGGCATGTATCTAAGGATGCTGCGAGAGAGCCCGTTGTGTGGGGGGATGAGGAGAGGAGAGGATGGGGCCGTTGAGGGGCCTTGAAGAAGCAGCATTGCTCCCGTGTGTGCTGTCTGTTGTGCAAATGCTCGAGGAATTAGGATGCTGGGAGGAAGACAGTGATGGGGGGTTAAACATTCGGGGAAGCTGGTGGAAACTCTCCGTATCAGTCAGTCAATCTTATTGTAAGGTCTGACCGTGGGTTGTGTTCATTGCAATGCCATGCCAACCAGAACTATGGACCATGATGCTGCAGAAATCAAAGGTATAAGCATTCCTAAGGCCAAACGCATGCTTCCTCACAGGGTGTGAAACAGCAGTTACTCCTTCCCGTGCCAGGGCAAGGAGGGCAGACTATTCATAGGCCACCAACCCTCGTTTGATACGCCCCTAGTGTCTCTGTGAACCCACTGATAACCAGCTCCAGACCACTCTATTACTGCCAGGTTTTCTGAGCCGTGGTAGGAGCAAAACCTTTAGTCTTGTCCGGCAGAAAACTGATGCAATGTCTTGTGCGGAATTATTCCCCCTTTCTCAAACACTGTCGGAGTAGACAATGCGACCCAGTCACAATCAGAGAAAGAGTTGGAGTGAGTTCACGGAGGAGAGAGGAGGAAGGGAGGTGAAAGCAAGAGGGGGAGAGAGGGAAGGAGGAGCGAGAGCCTTCTTGCCAGCAAAAAGAACGAATCCCCGGCTGCCAAAAACTGCTGAGGGGAGTTGAGGTAAACAAAGGAACAAGGCACAAAGAGAAACGGAAAGGGAGAGATCAGGGAGCAAGGGAGTGCGAGGGGAGAGATCAAAGAGTGAGGGAGTGCGAGGGGGAGAGATCAAAGAGTGAGGAAGTGCGAGGGGGAGAGATCAAAGAGTGAGGGAGTGCGAGGGGGAGAGATCAAAGAGTGAGGGAGTGCGAGGGGGAGAGATCAAAGAGTGAGGGAGTGCGAGGGGGAGAGATCACAGAGTGAGGGAGTGCGAGGGGGAGAGATCACAGAGTGAGGGAGTGCGAGGGGGAGATATCAAAGAGTGAGGGAGTGCGAGGGGGAGAGATCACAGAGTGAGGGAGTGCGAGGGGGAGATATCAAAGAGTGAGGGAGTGCGAGGGGGAGAGATCACAGAGTGAGGGAGTGCGAGGGGGAGATATCAAAGAGTGAGGGAGTGCGAGGGGGAGAGATCACAGAGTGAGGGAGTAAGAGGGGGAGATAGCAAAGAGTGAGGGAGTGAGGGGGAGAGATCAAAGAGCAAGGAAGTGCGAGGGGGAGAGATCAGAGAGCGAGGGAGCGCGAGGTAGAGAGATTCGAGAGCGAGGGAGTGCGAGGGGGACAGATTGGGTAGCTAGGGAGTGCGATGGGGAGGGATTAGAGAGCGGGAGAGTGCGAGGGGAGAGAGACAGGAGAGCGAGGGAGTGCGAGGGGAAAGAGATCAGAGAGCGATGGAGTGTGCGGGGGAGAGATAAAGAGTGAGGGAGTGCGAGGGGGAGAGACAAAGATCGAGGGAGTGCGAGGGGGAGAGATCACAGAGTGAGGGAGTGCGAGGAAGTGTGAGGGGTAGAGATCAGAGAGCGAGGGAGCGCGAGGTAGAGAGATTCGAGAGCGAGGGAGTGCGAGGGGGACAGATTGGGTACCTAGGGAGTGCGATGGGGAGGGATTAGAGAGCGGGAGAGTGCGAGGGGAGAGAGACAGGAGAGCAAGGGAGTGCGAAGGGAAAGAGATCAGAGAGCGATGGAGTGTGACGGGGAGAGATAAAGAGTGAGGGAGTGCGAGGGGGAGAGACAAAGAGCGAGGGATTGCAAGGGGGAGAGATAAGAGGGCGAGGGAGTGTGAGAGGGGGAGAGATAGGGAGCGAGGGAATGCGAGGGGGAGAGATAAGGTTGCGAGGGAGTGCGAGGGGAAAGAGATCAGCGAGCGAGGGAGTGCGAGGGGGAGAGATTAAGAGCGAGGGAGTGAGAGGGGGAGAGATAAAGAGCGAGGGCGTGCGAGGGGGGGGGATCAAGAGCGAGGGAGTGCGAGGGGGACAAGAGTGCGAGGAGGAGAGATAAAGAGTGAGGGAGTGCGAGGGGGACAAGAGGGCGAGGGAGTGTGAAGGGGAGAGATAAGAGAGTAAGGAGAGTAATCCGCTTCCTTTCTGTCATCCCTCGTTCTCCTCATCGTCTGCGGTGGGGAGAGAACAGGAGGAAAAAGGGAGGGGAACAGGGGCGTTGGGGGAGGGGGGGTGCAAATGTGAGGAGGGGGGAGGGATGGAGAGGAGCTAGCCTAAGGGAAAGGGCAAAAAGGAGCTCTAGCAATTATCTGGCTGAGTCCCAATATGGTGGGGACAAAACAGGAGGAGGGAAGGAAGTGAGCGAATGGGAGGCGGACTGGGGGTTGGGTGAGTGAGTGAATGATATGGTAATATAGTAGATACCGAATGATATATAATATGCAGTCATGTCATATCATCGGTTTGAGAGCCCAGTCGACAGCACCTGCATTGACGCACCCGCAAAATCGCAGCCATTCACGTGCTGCCGCTGCTGCTGCTGCTGCTGCTGCTGCTGCTTCAGGTGCCACCTGTGCCTCAACCGAAGAGGACTTGGGCTATGGAAAACGGAACTCGTTTGTTGTAGACGAAAGGGCAGGAGCCGGAGCACTTCTAGCCGCGGCAGAAGCTGCACCAGTGGCAGTGGTAACAGCTTTGTTAGAGACTGCTTCAACAGTAGTACTATTCTCTCCCGTCTAACTTCTTTGATATGACCATAACCGCAGAGGGAGAGAGCGGAAAGAGATGGGAGAGGAGGGGTAAGCGGGTGGGAGGGAGCAGTGGAAGTGAAGAATGGGGGTGTAAACATGGTGGGCAAGCTAGAGAAGGGAAGGAGCAAGCAAGGGATGGTAAAGAGGAGCAAACATAGTGGGTGCTGCCTTTCAGGCAGGCCGACGGCATGGTGACTTGCCACTCCAGCAACAGCCTTGGTTGATGATGATGCATCCACTCAATGACCCACAACCTGGTGATTTCCGCCATCATGCTCTCTCATCCTCACTTGCCTGCTCTCGCACCCTGCTGCCCAGCCGGAACCTGGAAAGGGCGAGAGGGGAGAGAGGGGCAGAAAAAGGTGCCACCTTGATGTCAAACATATATATGTGTTCTAGTTTTGGGTAGGCTGTAGTGGGGTAGATACTGTGGGGTACAACCCCTTAGGTTTCTTACTTGTTCCAAAATCTCTCGACATTGCAAACATTCATGCCTAAGTTTCTAAGATGGTATTTAGAGCATAGGTCTTTAGGACCTACGATTAGGGCCCACCGGTTACCGCGTTACCTCACCTACGGCCTTGCCTGCCTGCCAGCCTTGCCTGCTGCCCGCGCACGCCTCGGGTGCACGCGCGCGGCCCCTTATTTTTCTCGCGCGCACCGCTTAAGCAGCCCGCGCAGCCCGTTTTCGGCCCCGCACGCCGCGTCAGCCGCCCGCGCAGCCTGCTGCCGGCCCGCGCGCCGCTTACGCCGCCCGCACGCAGCCCGCTTAGGCCTCGCCCGTGCAGCCCGCCGCCGCACGCAGCCCGCAGCCGCGCGCAGCCCGTCGCCACGCGCAACCAGCAGCCGCGCGCAGCCCGCAGCCGCGCGCAGCCCGTCGCCACGTGCAGCCAGCAGCCGCGCGCAGCCCGCAGCCGCGCGTGCCCTGCCCGTGTGACGCCCGTGAGCCGCACGCATGCCTGTCTTAGCCTGCCTAGAGCGCCTGCCTTGAGCGCCTGCCTTGAGCGCCTTCCTAGAGCGCCTGCCTTAAGCGCCGGCCTTGAGCGCCTGCCTTGAGCACCTGCCTGCCAAGAGTGCTTGCCTGCCTTGAGCGCCTGCCTGCCAAGAGCGCCTACCTGCCTTGAGCGCCTGCCTGCCTTGAGCGCCTGCTTGCCCTGCGCGCTATCTCCGTAGCCTTGCCTGCACTGCTACTATGGCGATGCTTAATGTGCTCGCGTTCGATCCTGACGGCCGTCCAGTAGAGTTCCCCACCTGGCTCGACAACCTGCAACTGTTCCTCCTGACTGATGCAAAGGACGGTGTTTCCCTCTTCGATTACGTGTTTGGAAGTGTCGTTGCTCCTACTGATACTGAGCCTGCTCTAGACCCGCGATGCTGCTGCGTGCCTAGCTATTCGCAACCATCTGCCGATCACAGAGCGCGTGCACTTTAGCCAGCACAAGACTGTCAAGGCACTGTACGACGCTGTAGTTGCCCGCTACTCTTCCCCGGCCACTGCAGCCCTAGGTCGACTTATGCTACCCTACGTATTCCCCGACCTGTCCTCGTTTACCACCGCTAAGGACCTCATCTCTCACCTACGCTCTAGTGACACTCGTCTTCGTGCCGCCCTTCCAGCTGAGTTCCTCGCAATGAACCACCCCCCGATGTACTTTACTCTCTACTTCCTCATCACCCGCCTCCCTGACACTCTTCGCTCACTCATGGACCATTTTCTCGCCCTTGACCCCCATTCTTTCACTGTCGACGACCTCGAGAAGCACCTCCTACCAGCCGAGAAGAACATTCTAGCTGTAGGTACTGCTTGTGGTACTCCCCGCACTCCCCTCTTTGAGGGGTGCTCCCCCTCCCCTCTTACCCCCTCCTACGCCTCTGCAGCTGCTGCTGTCGACCTCCTTGGTGCTGAGAAGGTCGCAGCTGCTTCCGCTCCAAGCGGGAAGCGCAGCGGCTTCAAGGGAGGCAAGGGTGGCGGGGGTGGCGGGCGTGGCGGTGGGGCGGTGGTGGAGGCGGCGGGGGCGGTGGGGGTGGTGGCGGTGGTCGTGGGGTTGGAGGTAGTGGTGGGGAAGGTGGTGGTGCCGGGAGCAGTGGCGGTGGCAGCGACGGTGGTGGCGGAGGGGGGAGTGGTGGTGGTGGCGGTGGTGGGGGCTTGGGTGATGCCAGTGGTGGCCAGGGACAGCAGCAGCAGCATCGTCAGCGCCAGAACCACACTTCCCAGCAGCTCCTTGACTGGTATGCCAGGCGTGGGGCGTCTGGGGGTCCTAGTCGCTGCCCCTATATCATTCGCATAGGTCCCCGCGCTGGTCGGCAATGCACAGGGTTTCACACTGAGTACCGCTGCTTCGCTCGGCTTAGCGACACCTGGCGCATCAAGTTTCCTGATGCTACTGAGTTCCCCAACTGGGCAGACCTCCTTAAGCGTGATGTACCTATCTTTGATCTTGACTATGAGACTATTCTTGCTGCCATGTATGAATTGACTATTAGTGCTGAGGGTGACTGGGTTCGAATTTCCCAACCCCCAAAAGTCTGTACCCCATATTGAGTCAATGCCACAACTTCCCAAAGTAGCTGCAACCAAAATATATAAGCATACGAACTCCAATGTTCGTAACTTTCTTGGTTGTGCTCCGATCGCGACGATTCTTGGTTCGTCGGAAAGCTCTTGAGTAGAGGAATCACTTCAGATGTCTGCTCAGGCCAAATAACGCACACACACACACACACACACACACACACACACACACACACACACACACACACACACACACACACACACACACACACACACACACACACACACACACACACACACACACACACACACACACACACACACACACACACACACACACACACACACACACACACACACACACACACACACACACACACACACACACACACACACACACACACACACACACACACACACACACACACACACACACACACACACACACACACACACACACACACACACACACACACACACACACACACACACACACACACACACACACACACACACACACACACACACACACACACACACACACACACACACACACACACACACACACACACACACACACACACACACACACACACACACACACACACACACACACACACACACACACACACACACACACACACACACACACACACACACACACACACACACACACACACACACACACACACACACACACACACACACACACACACACACACACACACACACACACACACACACACACACACACACACACACACACACACACACACACACACACACACACACACACACACACACACACACACACACACACACACACACACACACACACACACACACACACACACACACACACACACACACACACACACACACACACACACACACACACACACACACACACACACACACACACACACACACACACACACACACACACACACACACACACACACACACACACACACACACACACACACACACACACACACACACACACACACACACACACACACACACACACACACACACACACACACACACACACACACACACACACACACACACACACACACACACACACACACACACACACACACACACACACACACACACACACACACACACACACACACACACACACACACACACACACACACACACACACACACACACACACACACACACACACACACACACACACACACACACACACACACACACACACACACACACACACACACACACACACACACACACACACACACACACACACACACACACACACACACACACACACACACACACACACACACACACACACACACACACACACACACACACACACACACACACACACACACACACACACACACACACACACACACACACACACACACACACACACACACACACACACACACACACACACACACACACACACACACACACACACACACACACACACACACACACACACACACACACACACACACACACACACACACACACACACACACACACACACACACACACACACACACACACACACACACACACACACACACACACACACACACACACACACACACACACACACACACACACACACACACACACACACACACACACACACACACACACACACACACACACACACACACACACACACACACACACACACACACACACACACACACACACACACACACACACACACACACACACACACACACACACACACACACACACACACACACACACACACACACACACACACACACACACACACACACACACACACACACACACACACACACACACACACACACACACACACACACACACACACACACACACACACACACACACACACACACACACACACACACACACACACACACACACACACACACACACACACACACACACACACACACACACACACACACACACACACACACACACACACACACACACACACACACACACACACACACACACACACACACACACACACACACACACACACACACACACACACACACACACACACACACACACACACACACACACACACACACACACACACACACACACACACACACACACACACACACACACACACACACACACACACACACACACACACACACACACACACACACACACACACACACAACACACACACACACACACACACACACACACACACACACACACACACACACACACACACACACACACACACACACACACACACACACACACACACACACACACACACACACACACACACACACACACACACACACACACACACACACACACACACACACACACACACACACACACACACACACACACACACACACACACACACACACACACACACACACACACACACACACACACACACACACACACACACACACACACACACACACACACACACACACACACACACACACACACACACACACACACACACACACACACACACACACACACACACACACACACACACACACACACACACACACACACACACACACACACACACACACACACACACACACACACACACACACACACACACACACACACACACACACACACACACACACACACACACACACACACACACACACACACCACACACACACACACACACACACACACACACACACACACACACACACACACACACACACACACACACACACACACACACACACAACAAACACACACACACACACACACACACACACACACACACACAGAAAATCCAAACCACACAAGACACAAATTTCTTGCACACGCTCACACTACGCATGCAACGCACAAACACATGATGGGAGGCAGACCGACGTGAATGCATATGGTTGCATCACAGAACATGCTAAGAGGGGAACAGCTGGTGTTGGGGCTTTGAACATGATCGAGGATCCCATCCTAGACAAGTCCAATCCACAGGGAGTCACAGGAGATAACATCAGGATGAAGTAGGTGCTGGCAGACTTTCAGGCTAAGGATGTTTTTAGGGAGATGAGGCCGGATGACAGGGAGTTCACCTTCTTCTGCAGGTTAGCTTTGGTCAGCTCGAGGATCGACATGATACTTGTGTCACAGGCTACGGTGCATCAGGTGGCAAAGGTGTCTAATCGGTGGTTGCCGCCGGAGATTACATACCACAAGTTTGGAATCAGTATGCGGCTGAGTTCGAGCGGACCGCAAGAGACTGGTCCAGGGACTTGGAGGTTTCCGGCAAGGCTAGCCAAGTGCCAGGGGGTGGCGACAGCGGTAACAGAGGTGGTTTAGCGGCACGAGGATGAAGGAAGTGGTGATTTTGACAGGTTGTCAAGACGACTGAGTGCGCGTCTGCGGAAATACGACAACGAAGAGAAAAAAACGGGTTAGACGGATGCAGAATGCGCTAGAGGAGCAAGTAGGGATGCTGCAACAGAAGGCGTTGGTGGATCCAGGCGACGACAATCTGCAAGCGGTACTCACAGCCAGCCAGGCGATGCTGCGAAGGTACAGGGACGGACGGAAGAATTTCTTGGAACTGAGAACAGGGCTCAAATTACAGCTGTGCGGGGAGGCTTTGACAGGTTTCTTGTCTGCTCTGGTCAAGAGCAGGAAGGTTAAGGTGGGAATAAAAGAACCGGTAAAAATGGAGTTAGTTTCACCTATGCAAAGGCGATCCTGGAGGCAGCATCACAATACTTTCGGTGTGCCTTCGACGAGCTCTCCTATTTAGTGGAGGACGAACTAGTGCTTCAGTGGATGGCGAGGAAGACCTTGGAGGAAGCATCTGCAGAGGCGCTGGAAGTAGACTGGACGGAGGAAGAGGTGCGGAAGGCGATTAAGGAGCTGGCAAATGACAAATCTCCGGGAAGAGTTGGCTTGCCGAAGGAATTGTTTCAGAGTCATTGGGGGGTGATAAAAGGTCCGGTGATGAAGATGGTGAAAGAATTTATGGCCACTGGCAAACTGCCCGAGGTAGCGAATGAGACTGTCACGGTGTTGCTGCATAAGAAGGGTGCGGAAATGGACATCAAGAACTACAGGCCGATAACGCTGATGACCAGCATATAGAAAGTACTAGCAAAGGTGGTAGCGACAAGGATAAAGGCAGTACTACATCATGTTATTTTAGGGGAGCAGTATGGCTTCCTACCCAGACGAAGACTCACCAACGCTGCGTGCATGGTGGCGGATTTGATTGATGCGGCCAACAACGAGCGCAATGATTGGTACCTGATGATGGTGGACTTCGAAAAAGCTTACGACTCGGTCCGGAGGGGGTATCTGATAAAGACTTCATCTCGGCTGGGCTTTCCTTCGCGTTTCGTGGGTTGGATCAAAGCCTTGCACAGTGATGTTCACATGCTGCTCTACGTCAATGGGTGGACCGGAGAGCAGATTCAGATGCGGAAGGGGGTGAGGCAGGGATGTCCTCTGGCGCCTTACCTTTTCTTGTGTGCGGTGGAACCATTGAGCAGATTGGCGGAAGAAAGGAAGTTGGGCATCGAAGATAGGGGCTGCGAGAGGTTGGCGTATATAAGTTACGTGGACGATACTACCCTGCTGCTAGAAGGGGAACAACAGGTGAAGGAGGCAAACCGGATGTTGCGGGATTTTGCTGTAGCGTCGGAACTGAAAGTCAACAGTGGGAAGTCCGCGATCCTGCCACTGGGGAAAATCTGTCAGAACATTATAGCTTATACATTTGTGTAGGCTATAGTCGGTAGCCCATAAGGGGTACAACCCAATTAGGGTTAGTACTTGTACCCAACTCTTTCATAGTTCAATCATCCTTCTATTTTCTCATGGTATCGAGCAAGTTCCCTAGTGGAAACTGTTCCTAAGGCCCACCGACTTTTTTTTTCCTGCCCGGGGCGCGTCCCGCCCCTGCCCGAAGCGCGCTTAGGGTCGCACCTTCCCTAGCGGCCCCGTCGCGTCGCCCTTAGCGGCCCGTCACGCCGCGCTTAGCGGTCCCGTCGCGCCGCCCTTCGCGACTGCGTCGCGCCGCCCTTTCGCGGCCCCGTCGTGCCGCCCCTTTCGCGGCCCCGTCGTACCGCCCTCAGCGGCCCGTCGCCGCCCTCCCCATGTGGCCCGTTGCCGCCCTTTCACCTGCGGCCCCGTCGCCGCCCTTACAGCGGCCCCGTTGCTGCCCTTGCAGCGGCCCCGTCGCCGCCCTTACAGCGGCCCTGTCGCCGCCCCTGACGCGACCCCGTCGCCGCCCTCACAGCGGCCCCGACGCCGCCCTTCCAGCGGCCCCGCCGCCTCTTTCAGCGGCCCCGTTGACACCCTCCCCTTACGGCCCGTCGCCGCCCTTTCAGCGGCCCCGCCACCTTCTTCAGGGGCCCCGTTGCCACCCCTGCAGCGGCCTCGACGCCGCCCCTTCAGCGGCCCTCCCGCCGCCTCCTCTGCGGCCCCGTCGCCGCTCACTTCAGCGGCCCCGCCGCCCTTCGCGGCCCCGCCTTCCTTAGCGGCACAGCCACCCAGCAGCCAAGCCGCCGAGCAGCCGAACTGCCCAGCAACCGAGCCGCCGAGCCGCCCAAGAGCCGAGCCGCCGAGCCGCCCTGCAGCCGAACAGCGGAGCCGCCCAGCAGTCGCGTCGCCGAGCCGCCCGATCCACCCGAGCCGCCCGAGCCGCCGCGCCACCTGAACCGCGCGAGCCGCCGGGTCGCCGAGCCGCCGAGCTGCAGTTGCTGCCGAGCCGCCGTACCGCCGAGCTGCCCGAGCCGCCCAAACTGCCGAGTCGCCGAGCCGCAGTTGCTGCCGAGCCGCCGTAAAACCGAGCCGCCCGAGCCGCCCGAGCCGCCCTGTCCGCCGCCTTGCCGAGCCGCCGAGCCGCCCGAGCCGCCCTGTCCGGTAAGAGTAGCGCCTCCGTCACTGCACTGCCCTTACCCTACTGTTCGCGCTACTAGTCTACTGCTGTCATGGCTACCCCTAGTGTCCTCGCTTTTGACGTTTAGGGTCGGGCCATTCACTTTGATGTCTGGGTAGATGACCTGCAGCTTTTCCTACAGTGCGATAGGGCAGACGGTCTCTCCCTCTTTGACCTCACCTCTGGTGCCTCTCCTGCCCCTGCTGCTGATGCCGACGCCACTGTTCGCTCACAGTGGGCCACACGCGATGCTGCAGCACGTCTTGCTGTGCGTCGCTACCTGCCTACCTCTGAGCGTGCGCACTTTAGTCAGTACAAGAGTGCTCAGACCTTTTACGACGCTGTAATTGAACGCTACTCCTCCCCTGCCACTGCTGCACTGAGCCGCCTCATGCTATCGTACTTCTTCGCTGACCTTGCTACCTTTCCCACAGTCGCTGACCTCATTACGCACCTCCGCACTAGTGACACTCGCTACCGCGCTGCGCTTCCTGCTGAGTTCTGCGCCAAGAACCACCCCCCCCATGTACATCACCCTCTACTACATAGTCACCCGGCTCCCTAACTCCCTTCGCGTAGTCAGGGACCACTTCCTCTCAGTTTGCCCCACCACTCTCACCGTTGACCTCCTCGAGAAGGCCCTCCTAGCAGCAGAGAAGAGCATAGTAGCTGTAGGAGCCTCTCGTAGTGACCCTCGCACCCCCATCTTTGAGGGATATTCCCCCTCCCCTCTTTTGCCCTCTGTTGCCTCTGCTGCTGCGGCCGACCTCGTTGGGCTTGAGTCGGTCGGTGCGGCGTCTACCCCTAGCGGGAGATGCCGCCCTGGCAAGGGCAAGGGGGGCAGGGGCGCTGGAGGAGCTAGCGGGGGCGGTGGAGGCGGGGTTGGAGGCGGTGGAGGGGGTGGGGGTGGCGGTGGGGGTGGTGGCGGGGGTGGAGGTGTCGGTGGCGCAGTGGAGGCAGAGGCGGCGGCGGCGGCGGCGGCGGCGGTGGCGGTGGGAGCGGAGGTGGCGGAGATGGCGGCGGTGGAGGAGGCGGTGGCGGCGGAGGTCGAGCTGGTCGGGGTGGCGCTGCGCAGAGGGTCAGCTCCGGTGGTGGTCAGCGCCAGCAGCAGCAGCAGCAGTGATGAAAGTAGAACGAGAATGGATGACTATGGAATGGAAGTGATACAAATGTGCAACCCTAGAAATGTGTACCCCATATGGGCTACCCCACTATAGCCTACACAAGATTATAATTTGACACACCCCCATAGGCAAAGTGGGGGAGAAGAAGGGGTCACAAGACCAGTCAAGCAAAGCAAAGCAAAGCTCAGGGTGGATCACAAAGTCACCACACATTCCGAGCACAAGTTCAAGGCCAGAAGGCCAGTTCACATGCAGGAGCACATATATACATAAGAGGCTAAGCAAGCAAGAGCAAGAGCATATATATGTGACAGTACAAGCAAGGTCAAGAAGTGAGCAAGTGAGGCAAGACAGGCACAAGACCAAGCTGAGTACAGAAGCGCTGATGATCACAAGGCGCAAGCGCCTTGGTGAAAACATCAGCAGTGTTGGCCTCAGAGGCCACGTACGCAAGTCGCAACTGACCACGCTGCTGTAACTCACGAGCAAGGAAGTAGCGAAGAGCAATGTGCTTTCTTCTGTGCTCCAGTCTCTGCTCTCGACACAAGGCCAGCATGGCCTTGTTGTCTACGTACAGGACTGGAGGAGAACGAGGCGGCTCTCCAAGGTCGGTCAGCAGGTAGGTGAGCCAGCGAAGCTCCTGTGCAGCCATGGCCCCGGCGTAGATCTCAGCCTCACAACTGGAGCTGAGAACAGAAGACGAGCAAGTAGCCCGCCACGAAACAGAGCCGGAACCAAGGCTGAAGGTGTAACCCTGTGACGACCGCTGCGTAGCCTGGTTGTCAGCCCAAGAAGCGTCTGCGTGCCCAGTGAGGACCACTGGACTCCGCCCTCCAAGCACTAGCCCCATGCCCGACGTACTGCACAAGTAGCGCAACACCCTCTTCGCTGCAGCCATGTGCTCTGGTCGGTGTCTCCTAGGAGCAACATAGCGTGCAAGAATGCTAAGAGGGTATGCAAGGTCAGGTCGTGTGCAAGTCATCAGGTACATGAGGCAACCAACAAGCTCTGGATACGGGCCAATCGACTCTACGGACTCATCCGAAGGCAGAGCTGAGAGTGAGTGGCGAGTAGGCAGAGGAGTGGCCTAAGGCGAGGAGTACGTGAAGCCCAAGCGCTGAAGGACCTGCTGCACCATGTGTGACTGAGTCAGGGTAATGGTGCGGCGTGCTCTGTCCCGGGTGATCTGCAAGCCAAGGTAGCTGCGCAGTTCACCAACGTCTGTGCACGTGTGTCTCTTCTGCAACTCAGACTTCACGTAGGCGAGTCCAGCAGTGTCAGCTGTGGCTAAGACCAAGTCGTTGACGTACACGAGGATGTAGAACGGCGGCAGAGAGGTGTCGGTGCGCAGAAACAGTGACGGGTCGGCTGTAGAAGGAGCAAACCCAAGAGCCGCAAGTGTAGTCCTCAGTGTGTCGTGCCACTCACATGGCGCCTGGCAGAGACCGTAGACTGGACGCCGGAGACTCCACTGGGTACCAAGAGGGAAAGAAACAGTGAAGCTAGGTGGGCGGGACAGCCAGATCTCCTCGTGCAGGCTGCCCTGCAAGAAAACAGTGCTGAAGTCAAGAGAGTGCAGCTCGTAGTCACGGTGAGCAGCAACGTGCAGCAGTACCCAAAGAGTGGTCATCTTCGGGGTGGGGGAGAAGGTCTGAAAGTAGTCAACTCCCTGCCGCTGACTGAAGCCACGAACCACGTAATGCGCCTTGAAGACAGGCGGAAAACCCGGCGGCCGCTTCGCCCTGAAAATCCACATGCCAATGACGATGTTCGCCCCAGGAGGGGGGACAGCGTCAACGTAGGTGCCTGTGGACTTCCAGGAAGCCATCTCTGCATCCATAGCTGCCTGCCACTGAGACGAGTAGGGACCCTCTATCGCCTCCGCGTAAGAGCGCGGAGTCGGGATGTCAAGTGCATCCGGGTCTCCCTCAGGGGTAAGCAGTACCGACACGAGATGAGGTGAAGCAGCTGCCAGACACTGGAACTCCTCCTGCCTGTCCTCAAGGACGTCCGTGCCAAGGGCACACTCACCCCCGACGGACGGAGGACAGACAGACGCAGACTCAGCGACAAGACTAGCAGCGTAGTCTGGGCGATAGCGAGCAGCAAAGTCGATGAGCTCAGAAACGAGGGCAGACGCAGCAGTGGACTCGAAAGAAGGGTCAGTGACGACAGTAGCAAGGAGACGCATGAGAGTAGGACTAGCAGCACGAAGAGATTCCGACTCCGGGTCGGCAAGAGCCACGGCGTATGACAAAGTCGACGTCGACTTGTTGTACGACGACGCTGAGGAGGATGAGGAACTGCTGGAGCTTGACCCTGACATGCACGCCGACCCTGAACACCGTTAGGACTTCTCGACGATGACGGTGAAGGAGGTGTTGGCGAGCTAGAAGGCCAAGGCGGTGAAGTTCGCCATGGAAAAGGAGATCCGCAGTCTCATCGGCATGGGGACCTGGGAGCTGGTCGGATGCCCGCCCGGGGTGAACATCGTGAAGAACCGGTTGGTGTTGATAACGAAGTACCACATCGATGACACCGTCGAGCGCGAGAAGGCGAGGCTGGTCTTGAAGGGCTTCACGCAGGTGTACGGAGCCGACTAGGACAAGGCGTATACGCTAGTGAGCAGATACGTCACGGTGAGGATTTTACTGAGCATCGTTGCCGTCCACAACCTCAACCTGATGCAGCTCGACATGGAGAAAGCCTTTGTGCAGAGCAAGCTCGACCGGGTGCTATACATGCACCAGCCGGACTACTTCAACGACGGGACTGGCCGGGTGTGCAAACTGCTGAAGAGCCTCTACGGGCTGAAGCAGTTACTGTTGTTGTGGTACAAGGCTCTTAACGACATGGTGGTCGGCACTGGTTGGAAGAAGAGCCAGGTCAACACGGCGCTCTTCTTCAAGGTCTGTGACAACAAGGTGGCCTTCTGGGTACTGGTCTACGTCGACAACCTACTCGACGCGAACAGTAGTGCCGAGATGCTGAAGGAGCTGAAGGAGCTGCTAGAGGGTGTCTTCGAACTGCGTGAGATCTTGCCGGCGCAGAAGTACCTAGGCAACAGGCCGGCGAGGAAGCGGTGGTTGCACCAGCAGGGCTACGCCGACAAGCTGTGTAGGTGGTTCCTTGACGAGGAGCAGACTGGCCGCACCCCAAAGATGCCGGTCTCGGTCGACGCCTACGCCGAGCTCACCTTCGACGACGAGGAGGCGCAGGAGCACTAGGAGGAGGAGTACCGGAAGAAGGTCGGCTCGCTACAGTTCGCAGCAACGACGATGAGGACAGACATCGCCTTCGCCTGCACCCAGCTAGGGAGCGGCCTCATGGTGAGGAGCGACTAGCACTGGCGCGAGGTTGACCGCTGCTTCGCCTACCTCGCCAATACGCATGACACCGCCCTGGAGTTCAGTGGTGGACCTAAGTCGCTGCAACTGGTTGGCTATGTGAACGCCGATGACACTTGCGACCGGGCAGAAGCGGACGAGCACGGGCGGCTACGTGTTCGTCCACAGAGGGACAGAAGTCTCCTGGTCGAGTGAGCGCATCAAGTGCGCGACGATGTCGTCGACCGAGTCGGAGAACGTGGCGGCCACGGAAGCTGGCAAGGAGGGATGCCGTCTTTGCTTCCTTCTTGCAGAGTTTCGGCAGCTCGATGCCGGGAAGCCGACCGTCCTCCGGGTGGTCAAAAAGTCGGCCATTACGGTCGCCAAGGGCATGGGGTTGACAAGCATCCTCAAGCACATGGAGCGGCGTTAGGCCTGGCTGCAGCACATGGTGAAGCGCGGGACGTTTTTGCTGAAGTACATCTCGACCACCGAGCAGCCGACCGACTTCCTGACGAAGGCGCTGCACTTTCCGGCCTTCAACCGGTGCTCCGTTGCAATCGGCCAAGTTCGTATAGCTGACGTGGGCGATGACGATATGCAAAAGTGGGTGCCATGCCCTCTTGCATGGCTGGTGCGGTGACTGGCGTGCTGTGCGTTGGGTGCACGCGGAAGAGGTATTCTCCGAGTAGTGCTGCCGTGCGGTCTGGGGGCCCAAGCGTGAATGCAGCTGGGGGAGTGTCAACGGGAATTGTGGTTGACCCCGTCCTTGCTTGAGTGGAGCCAACCTCGTAGTCGGGTGTATGGGGAATATGGCCGACCTGAAGCAGTGGGCGAGCCGGTTGACGAGGTGGTCGACCTGCGCGGGGATTTCTGTACAGGCGCCAAACTTGGGGACGCCGGGCTTGCGTAGCCGGCGACCGACAAGGCTGGTCGACCAGGCAGGGTTGCCTGGTCGACCAGGATACCTGGGCGGCGTGTGCGAAGGTCGCCTGGGTGATTTCTGCGAGGCCGACTACGGGGGTGGTATCCCGAGGTCAACGTGGCTGGTGCGTGCAGTCGCTGGTTGGCGCAGTTGCTAGCGTGGAGTCCGCCAGGCATCTCCGCTCTGCTCATGACGAGGTGTGGAGCACCAACCAGCTGCAGGCATATGCAAAGTAGGTGTACCATTGTCATGAGGTGCAACAATGTGCAGCCGGCTTGCTGCAGCATTGGCACAACATGGACTTGCAACGCTGGCAAGCCACGACTTTGCTCTGCTCGAGGGCGGTCGACCAAGTTGTGCTGGCACGCGGTCGACCGTGTTGCGTTGGAAGTCGACCAGCAGCTCTGTTAGCTCTGATGTAGTCTTTCACGCCAATGTTGTTGCTATCATTCTGAATCATTGTTCTCAAATTTTGCTAGTGAAACTCTTGCGGTTTTGCCCCGTGAATGCACAAGTGCTAGAGAACGTCTAAGTGAACGAACGCAGAGCACCCGTGCCTAGCCTGTAGTCTAGCTCCCGTTAAACGAGTTATCTCCGCAACTATCTCATTGTCACTCGTCTCTCTGATGAACTCTTGTCTGCATGTGGCTCGATTCTTCAAAAATACTCTAGCGAGCTTACTGTCAAACTCCTTGAGACCACTTTCACTGAGATCGAGTAAACTCCACTCATTTGATTTTGCTAATGCTTCATTAGTTCCCCGTCTCTTTGAGGGGTGTGTTGTATCCCAGCTTCCCACCTTCACTGCTTCTCTTGCCTCTGCTGCGTCGTCTGCTACTAAGGAGAATGCAGCTATTTCTGCCACAAGTTGGCAGAAACAAGGCAAGCGAGGAAAGAGAAGGGGGAAGGGTGGCAGTCGTGGAGGTAGTGGAGTTGGTGGGGGTACTAGTGCGACACGAGGTGGTGACTCTGGAGACAGGGCCAAAGCTGCTGGTGCGGCGCCTAGGGATGATGACTCTAGGGGTCTGCGCGGACACAGCAGCAATAGCCACAACAGTCACATCAGCTACATCAGTAGCTCCCACAAACGCAGCAACAGGTGCAGCAATACGGACAGCAGCAACAGCAACAATTTCAACAGTGGGGACCTCAATAGCAGTGGGGACCTCAACATCTGTGGGGTGTCAAAACATATATGCTTATATGTTATGTAGGCTATATAGGTGTTAGCACTAGGGGGTACAAAATTTCTCTCGATGTTGTTGTTGTACCCCTCCCTCGACCTAATGATCACCATTCCTCCTATCTAATCTCGACATGGTATCAGAGCGGGTCCTTCCTAAGGACCCTTTTCTTCAGAGGGCCCACCACTTAATGTTGGTCCTGCCCAAATCTTTGCCCTGCCCTGCCCTTCCCCGTTCCTTCCCGCTGCCCTACCCTACCGCGCGCAGCCCGTTTAGGCCGCCGCCCGTGCGCAGCCCGTACAGCCCGCGCGCCACCCGCACGCAGCCCATACAGCCTGCGAGCCGCCCGCGTGCAGCCCGTACAGCTCGCGCAAGGCTTGCGCGCAGCCCGTACAGCCCGCGCCAGGCCTGCACGCAGCCCATACAGCCCGAGCCAAGCCCGCGCGCAGTCCGTACAGCCCGCACTAGGCCCATGCGCACCTGCCGTGCCGCCCGCGCACCTGCACTGGCCCTGCACCTCGTCGGCACACTGTCCCTGCTACCCTACTGCCGCCTGTACTGCTGTGGCTGCACTACTGCTGCTGCCTACGCTACTGCTACTGTTGCACCGCTGCTATTGCCCTGCGCCGTGTTGTGCCAGCAAGCGCGCTGCCTTGCCCTGCCTGCTCGTGTGAGCTCTACCCCGTGCACCTGCCCTGCTCCGCATTGTTGCTCTGCATGCGTGGCTGCCCTGCCTTGCCCCGTGCTGTTGCACAGCTCGTCACACGCCACCTTACACCACCCTGCCCGCGCGCTGCCCTGCTGGCCGCAGCCCTACCCTGCCCTGCCTGCGCGCCGCCCTGCTGGCCGCCGCCCGCCTTGCCCTGCCCGCACGCTGCCCTACTGGCCGCCACCCTCCCCTAACCGCGTGCAGCCAGCCGCCGCGCCGCCCTGCCCTGCTTGCGCGCCACTCGCAGCCGTGCCACCCTACCCTGCCTGCGTGCCGCCCTGCTGGCTGCCGCCCCGCCCTGATCTGCCAACGCGCCGCCCTACTAGCCGCCGCCCTGCCTGCACAGTGCCCTGCTACTAGCGCGCTCACATGCCTTGCCCGCGATGGCTACTCTCAGTGTCCTCTCGTTCGATGTAGAGGGCCAATCGATAGAGTTCGGCACGTGGCTAGATGACCTGCAGCTGTACTTACTCAGCAATTCTAGGGACGGTGTCTCGCTGTTTGACCTCACGTTTGGAGCCTCTCTCGCCCCTTTCTGCCACAGATGACAGTGCGACTCGCTCAGAATGGCTTACCCATGACGCTGCTGCTCGCCTAGCCGTTCGCAACCACCTGCCGTTAGCCGAACGCGCTCACTTTGGCTAGCACAAGACTGCTAGAGCCCTGTACGATGCTGTAGACACTCGTTACTCCTCCCCGGCCACTGCTGCTCTTGGTCGCCTAATACTGCCCTACCTATTCCGCGAGCTGTCCGCCTTTGCCGCAGTCGCCGACCTCGTCACTCACCTTCGCACTAGTGACACTCGCTACTGTGCCGCACTTTCCGCCGAGTTTCTAGCCAAGAACCCTCCTCCCATTTACATCACGATGTACTTCATCGTCACCCGCCTCCTTGACTCTCTTAGCATGGTCAAGGAGCTCCTTCTTGCCCTTGACCCCACAGACCTCACTGTCGACCTGCTCGAGACACACCTCCTTGCAGCTGAGACCAGCATAGTCACTGTAGGCGCTTCTCGTGGCACTCCTCGCACTCCCTTCTTTGTGGGGTGTTCCCCCTCTCCTCTTGTCCCCTCTATTGCTTCTGCTGCTGCTGTTGACTTCCTTCATGCTGAGGAGGTCAAAGCTGCATCTGCTCCTAGTGGGAGGCGCCGCGGCGGCAAGGGCAAGGGAGGCCAGGGTGGTGGGGGTGGTAGTGGTGGAGGCGGTGGTGGGGGCGGTGGAGGCGGTGGAGGTATCGGTGGCAATGGTGGCAGTTGGAGTGGTGGTGGGAGTGGAGGCGGTGGTGGCGGCGGCGGCGGCGGCAGTGGGGGTGGCAGCGGCGGTGGCGGCAGTGGGAGTGGTGGCGGGAGCAGTGGTGGTGGTCGGGGTGGAGCTGTTAAGAGGGGAGGTTTTGTTTTTTTTTGGAGGATATAAGTATACTACACGCATGCATACATCCGTAGTCATAACTATTGCTACAAGGGCTAAATGTTATAGGTAACATTTCCCCCCTCTTACTCTCTACGGAGGCTGGAAAGCCACCCTTCCATCTTCCCAGATTGCCTTGAAACCCGCCTTCCACGTCATCGAGGCTTCACATTGGTACAGTTTGTGCATGACTTCCGCCTCATCAGCAGCCAAGTGACTCCAGTCGCCTGTCCGTTTCGTAGCCCCCTTGCCATCCACCCTTTTCCGAGCCCAGCTGTAAATCTTCACGTCCCTTGTAAAACTCACTGCCATGCGTCGCAGTGTCCTTTTTGGCTGGAACCGGCTACCCCTGAAAACCGCGTTTCACCTCTCCAACCAAACTTGGTGCGCCGTGATTGAGATGAAGGCAGCCTCCGGAAAACCTGTCGTCATGCTGTTTTCTTGGAACAACATGTCGCTGAGGCACTCCATGTCTGCCCGGGTTCATACATTGTACTACCCTCTTCATCACCCCGACCACTGGTTGGATCATGGGGCAGCTGAAGAGGCAGTGGTCTTGTGACTCCTCCCTCCCGCAGTGAACACAGCGCCCTTGCACCCAGGAACTGAAGTCTTTCCTCCATCTGTAGGTTGTTGTTGTGCACTCTCAGCACCACTTCCCGCGCCCTGGCTGGGGTTGCTAGTGAATCCCGGATCTTGATGGCTTTCCCTTAGTCTATCTTCCTCCCCCTCACTTCTTCCCACTGCAGCTATTGCCTAGGGTGGGCGGTTGGGGGCCTCATTGCATTCCGCTGCTGCCTTAGTTCGGCTCGCTCGCCTTTGTTGCAGATTGGTGAGTAGACCAGCCATGATCTCGGGTCACCCAGCGGCCCTCGCATCCTCCCTTCTATGATTGCCATTGGAGTGGTGCGTAAGTGGTCAACTGATACCACGCTGGCATACTCCACTGCGGATATGTGCCCCTTTTTATCCACCGTCGCCCGCTTCCCATATAGCACTCCGTTGTTCGCGTATTCTAGCGTGTAGTAGAAAAACTCCCTTGGTCAGTATGACGGTGTGCGAATCAAACACGTCTCTCTGAAAACCTCCTCCGCTTGCAGCTGGTTGAGTACCAGGTCCCTCCAACTCTGTGGCGCTCATTCCCTCGCCTTCCGAGCCCACTTTCTCTGGTCTACCGCCCCAAGTTCCTGTTCCAGGGTGGCGTCGCTCTTGAGGCTTCTGCTATCGTCGCTGCTCTTTTCCACCAAGTCCCCCAGGCGTATTCCCATCAAGCCGTGCGAGCCCGCCTGATTTTGAAAGGTGATCTGCCTCTGAAGAAGATTTTCCGATTGAACAACAGCTGCTCCTCTTTCGCGTCTCATCTGTGTGCAAGGTCACCCATGGTTAAGATTTTTGAGTCCCATAGGGCTTTTACTGCTGCTTTCTATCTTGTCCCGCTTCCCAACCAGTGGTTCAAGATCGAGGGGTGGGCGTAGATTGTCGCAAGACCAAGCGGGAAGCCAGCCGCTCTCTCCCACAGCCAGATTCTTAAAGGCTCATGCTCCACCAGGGCCTTGCCCATGTTTTGGATCACAGTGCTATCGATTCGGTGCTTGAAATCTATCACTCCCAGTCCGCCGTCTCTCCTTCCCCGGCATGACAGGTCGTAACTCCAGAGGATAAAATGCCTGTCCAGCAGTGCTTTGCCCCCAAAGATAAGTTGTGGCAGAGCCGCTTCACCTTTGTCCAGATTCCATGCGGCAGAGCGTAAATCTGGGCCTGGTACAGTGAGATTGGCATCGCATAGCTATTGATGATGGTGACTCGCGCGGATGTCTTGAGGTGCTTCGTTTCCCAGCAGCTCAACACCGCGCTTACGCTCTCGAACGCCTTGTCCCACGCGTTCTCGGTGAGCCGCCGAAAGTAATCCAAATACCTAATAGCCGCTCCGCCCTGTCCTTGCCTGCCCAGGTGAAAGGTGATGCTATCAGCTGCAACCTCCTCCTGTTCTTCCCCAGCGGCATCAGTGATGTCTACTCGTGGTTCACCCTTAGCCCCGATATTTCCGCTAAGTCATCCAATAGCTTCTTCGCTGATACCACTTGCTCCTTCCCTTTTAGGACCAGAGTCGTGTCATCAGCGTAGCCAATGTAAGCTAGCTCCCCTTTTACGCCCCTTTTTCTGACTCCCAGTGTCCTCCTTTTGATTTTATGGCAGAGTGGCTCAACGGCGCAGAGGAAGAGGTACGGGGCGAGTGGGCACCCCTGGCAAACCCCTTTTTCCATCTTCACCTTCTCCCCCACCCAGCCGTTCAGCAGCAACTTGGTAGCCGCACCATCATGGAGACCTTTCACCCACGTGGAATACCCCGTTGGGAAACCCATGTTCTCTAACGTCTTGAACAGGTACTCCTGGGACACTGAGTCGTATGCTTTCTGGAAGTCAACTAGCAGTAGCAACTAGTCCCCATCCTCCTCCACCGCTGCATCTATTGTATCTACTACAAGTGAGACCGCGTCCGCCAGACTTCTTCCCGGGAGGAATCCAAAATGGTTCTAGGATATCACCCTCGGTAAGACTGATTTGATCCTGTGTGCCATTACTTTCGCCAGTGGCTTGTGGAAGAAGCTCAGTAGAGTAATTGGCCTGTAGTTACTCAAGTTGTCCCTGTCTCCCTTTTTGTGTAGTAGGATCGTAATCGCCGTTGTGAAGGTTTCGGAGAGCCGCGCCGTCTTTTCGAACGCTTTGACCTCCTTCAGCACTGCTGGTCCAAGGAGTTCCCAGTTGCGCTCGAAGAACTCCTTCGCAACCCGTCCTAGCCTGGAGCTTTTCCCACATGGAGCCCCTTGAGCGCTTCCTTCACCTCCTACTCCGATCACTCTCTCCCAAGCATCATCCGGTAAGCCTCTTGCAATCGCGGCCTCTCATCAATCGGTCACGGCTCCTTGACAGTCCCTGTCGCTGAGCCTGTGTAGGCCTCACGGAAGTGTTCGAAAGCCACCTGCAGCACCTCTTTTGCCCCTTTCATACGCGCGCCTTTACAGAATAGTTGTTATAGTCACAGTAGGCTCCAATGTGCCTAAACCGAAAGATAGAGTGCACAGTCGGATTTCTGCACAGCGGCTTCAAACGTTCATAGCGTTCTGGTCACAGCTTCAAATGACTTGATTCAACTTGGATCTGGAGCGTCTTATTGTCGCCTACAATAGGCAGTTTAGATCGCACGATTTGACCAAGTATTGACGACACAGCGTTGGTTTGAACGAACGGCACTATGACAGCCACTATAGTCTTAGAACACAAAATAGGAAGAGATCTGAAGAGTTACGAGTTGGGAATGACTCCCAGCTCCTACAAACCCCAAGAGCCGAGGTACAGTGATGTGGAACAGTGCCACACTGTCCCCAACCACGAAGGGTCTCGAAACTACCCTTCACTAGGGCCTACACCAAGTGAAATGTTACACTACACAAAGTAATGTAACTATCTTCAATATCTTGAGGTGTACCCTTTTGGCGAGCTTTGAAATCACCTGAGGCTTGACACCAAGGCTCGGGCTCTTCATCACAAACTCGTCCTTGAGTTCTTGATGGGTCTGCTGCACACACCTGCGACACACCGAACGTTCGACACAGGACAAAATAGAAACCGCGCACGACAAAATAGAAATCGCGCGCGAGACACAAACGACCGCGTAACACGCGTCTAGCGATAACTCGCTATTGACTCAACACACACACTCGACATCATGACTCAACATTCACACACAATTATAAGCATGAAATATATATTATCCCATGCCCTCATACCATTCCATACACACACACACATGCACGCACACGGACAACAAGCCGAGTGCAAACCATAGGGTTGCACCAACAATAGTTCACTGATCTCTGTCTTCGACTTGACCAGGCCCAACAGGAAGCCCGATGGTGTCTCACCCGCCAGTTCGGCCAGCATCCCTGCCATGACCTTGAGCTGCTCCTTGTTCACATCCTGGTAAATCTTGAGCGCCACTTTGCTCTTTGTCAGCTCCTCGTACGTATCTTGTGCCGATGGATCTGCCATCACCCTCCACCTGAGGGTCTCCACTTTCTGCTCCAGATACGCCATGGTCGCCTTCATCCTTTTCCTCTCCTCCGCTACGTGCACTCTCATGCTTGCCCGCAGATTCGCCAGTAGCCTCTCCAGGCTCTGGGCCGGCTGGTCTATTTGCGTTGCCAGCACCGCAGATATGATTTTTTGGGTCCCTTCGCCGCCCGACTTTGCTGCCTGAAGCCTCCAGAGACCAGGGCCGTGGTCATCTGCCGACGCCGATTCAAGTGTGACTGATACCGCAAACCAATGGTCAGTGAGGCTGTAGGGCACCATCTCATGCTTCGCCTTTGTCTCGCAATTGAGCAGTGAGTGAGATACTAAAATCCCGTCGATTCGCGTACTTGTCCTTGAAGATCTGGAGAAAAAGGTGTATCCCTTGCGGCTTCGGTGTAGGCAACGGAAAGCGTCTTGCAAATCCCACCTCGAGCAAATTTGACGACTTATCCAGCTCCGGATCAGCGACGATGTTCAGGTCACCTAGGAAGACCGCGTGTGGTGTCACGCCTAGGCTCTGCACGAAGTGTGTAAGGACATCTCGGAAGAACACCCCCCTTGCGGGGGGCTGCGCCGGTAGGTACACAACAAGTATTATGCAACTTAGATCGCGCCACTTCACTATTAGGCTCACAAGGCGGCCTGACTTGTGTTTGACCACCTCCGTAAACCGCATCCCTTGCAGGAAAACCAGGACGGCTACTCCACTGGCCCTCTGCGATGTACCCATCATTGCCTGGGCCTCCAACCTGACTTGCGTCCTGAAGTTATGGTCCGCTGGAACTCTGGTGTCTGTAAGGACTACAATGTTCGCTGCCTTCCTTATCCACTTTCCGCATCTCTTTTGCTTTCTGCTACTGTCGAGCCCATTGGTGTTGAGCTCGAGAAAGGTGAACTTGTTGTTTTTGTCCATTAATCCACTTTGTTGAGCCCCACAGCATCCACGGGCGGTTAAGCTTCACTGCAACGATGCATCCTACTACAGCGAAAGAGAACATTGCACCGACTATACATCCCGCACCTACGATCCACCTTGCTGCGTCATCCGATCCCATCTAGGTATTTATGACTGAGTTGCTGATCACTTCTTGCCGGTTTGACGATGAACTCCTTCTTGAAAGCAGAAAACTTCTGAGAGTGCTT